AGGAATCTTGGATTACTTTTTGTAGTTCTCTTGCCACTGAGATGGGGTCCGAGGAGATTTTTTTTGTGTCCGGAGACAGTTGTTTAATTATCACCGTGTTGTTGTTTCCAGACGATTTGAAATAATATAATTTTGTTTTTTTCAATAGTGGTACAGAGATGAAATATGGGCTAATATGAATAGAACAAATTTATGCAGAAAATAGCTACAGCATGAATAAAGCCAGAATAATATTGATGTTGATAGTAAATACTCTAGTTATATTACCAAATTCCAAACCTAAGTCAAAACAATGCAGGAAAACCAGGAATCCTAACTCATGCAGAGAGTGGATGAGTATTGCAAGATCTTTGGCGACGCTTCAGTAGCAAAATTTACACCATCAGAAGATCTTGCCAACACATTTAGATTGAAATTCTTGCATTTAATATATTTATCAGTCTTCGGCCAACTATTTAAAAAAGAGGGTTTCCAGTATGTTGGATGGATCAGGATGCAGTGAAGCTTGTCCAGAAATCAGTTGCGATGAGTTCTCATCAAAAAAATTTAAACATCAAGTTTATGATTACATAGTTGCAGTCACATTAGAGTGGTCAGACTGCATTACCACATGTTCAGTTGACACTTGCTGTACCCTCGGACTGTTTTTAGGGTAAAATTAGTTATTTGGGGTAACACGTGCGTGCAACCTTGTAAATAAGTTTGTGTCTTGTAAATAGTTTTTCATTAATCAGCATAAATGGCTTTTCATTAGAAATTACCTGGCGACGCATCTTAAAATTGCCTGGCGTCCGGCGATGCTTAGGGCTTAAAAACCCATATATTGGTGACGCTGCATCCACCCTCTGCACCCTGGTCCTAACTGATTGGATTTGGGACACAAAATATACACTTGACACAGTTCACAGTATATGTAAAGATAAATGCAAATGGGGAAAAAATGACAAAAATCGCATTGACAAGTTGTTTATTGATGTGGCCAGGGTTTCAAGAAAAATAATATAACTTTAATATGCAAGAGATAATAATAGTGAACTAAAATTATGGGATTTTAACTAATGTACGTACCTAAATTCAAACCTTGGCTGGCCCACAAACCTACTCCTACTAGTCCTACCTCTTCTCATGGAGAGAAGAGGAGAGGGGGAGGGCCCATGTGATCTATCAATGATTATTTGCCGGCAGAGGTGGGCAGTAGCGCGCTACATGTAGTGGCTGCTACATTTTCAGTAGCAGTAGAGGCGCTACATTTAAGGCAATGTAGTGGACTAGTGGTAGCGGTAGCGCCCGCTACATATTTGGGTAGCAATACAAGGTTTTGCCGCTACAGCGCTACCACTACATTTATAGCTAAAGCCTTTAGATTTTACTTAATAGTATTAAATATTATTTAAAAACCAGCATGATACATACATAATATAATTTACAGAATAAAACTGTATGAAAGATTTTGGTGTAATGTTGTCAACCTCAGCCTGTTACCACTACATTTCAAAGTAGCGCTGCCCAGCTCTGTTTGCCGGTTAACTTTACACAATCAAGGGCGATAGACACTAGAGATGTTCACTCGATGAACGTAGCTGACTCTCTCCTCTCCTAAGCGTGTTGACTGGCGTAAAATTAATTCTTCAATCGGCGGACGATGGCGGGCCATGCCATTCCCGGATTCCGGGAAGCTCCGGAAGCGGCTTCCCTACTGGACCAGAATCTAGCAGGAAAACTGCTTCCCTGCTGGATTCTTTTGGGTCTAATTCAATGGATATGTTTTGGCTAGTGTGGCTTTCAGCTTATAACGTGATAGACCAGAATTGGTAGAAGCTTCGTTATTGGAGGAAGAATCTGAGTGATTCCGTTATACCACTGCATTGAGTGTGTCCATCTGGCAGGAGGCAGCTTTTCTATTCCTGCGTCATTGTGCGCTAAGCGTAATTACTTAATTGGTTAAGATGAGGCGCGTCACCGACTGAAGTATTGGCGCTCTCATTCAGCAGTCTTCGGGGGGCACTAAATGTTGTCAAGCATTTTGGTGTCTTGTGGGTACTTGATAATTATGTCAGCAGGAAACTCAGGAGCTGTGAGCGAGGACTGGCTGAATGAGACTCCGAGGTGGGTGCAGGCAGCCTTCAGCTGATTGCGATGAGGAGACAGTATAGAGTAGCTTATGAAGAGGTGGTCAGGGGTGAGCCGGCATTGACATGAGGAGCACTGGTATGGGTGTGAGCCTGAGGAGTAGGCTATGCGTCAGTAGGCACACTCCTAATCGAATACGTGTGATTGCAATTTGGTGAGGACGAGGGAGGAAGTGTTGGGCTAGTGGGCTCAGTTTTTTCTTGAAAGAAGTGAGTTCTTGCGGTTGTGCGGTCCATGCTCTTTGCCATTTAGTGCAAAACACTTGAGTGATGAGTTGTTTGGTGTCAGCATAGCAGTGGGACATCTGCGTCATGGTTGAACTAATATAAGGTTGACCAACGGCGATGACGATTTTTGCCGTTCTGTGCATCTCTAGAATGGGCCAAAAAAATTATTTACTGCATGCAACTAGTTTTGTTTTAAGCAAAACCGGTGTTACCGGTTTTGAAGAAATTTTGTCGCGTGAAGAAGTTTCAGCGCAGTTTTTTTAGCCTATAGCCGTGGCCCCTGGTGTTGGTTCTTGTTTCAAATTCTAGTAACCCTTCAGGGACCTTGTATAGACCATGAGTATACTTGTATACTTCAATGAACGCCACTGCGCACTGATGGTGCGCACTGGTGACTACCTTTCCTACTGGTTACAGTGACTACCTTCCCGTGTCTGATGATCCAGTTTTTGTTTCCCCCTGCGATGTTGGTTTCCTTCTTCTTCTTGTCTCTTTCTTCCATTAAACTCTTCATTTCTGTTCTCTCTAAAGGAGTGCAATAATTCTTCACAAAATGCTACTAAACTCTGAGTTGCCACGAAGCTTTCTGGCTTCCCTCGATCAACACCGCTCCAGCTTTACTACAATCTTTCACTGTCATGAACAATGGGTCTCCGTCTTCTTAACTCTAATGCAGCCTGTTGCATGATGCAATTTCCAGGTCAACTCCCATGCAGTGCTCGGCCACACAGATCAGTGAAAAAGTCCAAATCTGCCTTTACTATGCATTTTCCATCGTCTGCTTTACTTTCAGGAACATCGAACGTACCTGACAAGATTTGCTTTCGTTCACTCTCTGTCTGCCAATTCCCTAGAACTCTCATTTGCAACCTTTGCTGCCTCTTTCAGGCTGTGCCAACAATAATTGCTGCTGCTTGTCACAAATGCTGCGAACCCTAACCCCTGCCTCTGATGATCCCATTTTCTCAAGGTAGTCTTTGACTTGAGCAAGTTCGTTTTTCAAAGAGTCAAACTGTTTTGTGAAACTTTTTTCAACTTTCTACTCTGGAAGCTGCTAACATTTGGCCACACTTCTCTCAACAAGCCTATCATTCTTCGCCGCATTCAACGCTGGCAAAACCAATGCAACGTTGCAGTCTTCTGCATGAACGTGTATTCTTCACTCGACAACTCCTAGCAGGACACGCATATGTATTTGTCGCATCTCTCACAACCATTTAGTCATCTCCATCGGTGAAATCTTTCAAGCCGAATTTGCATGTGTTAACTTCATTCATGACTGATTGTGCTTCATCTCGAGCTTTCCCGCCATCCTGAGACTGTTGTGAAGAAGACAACTTCGTTTTTTTCTGTCGCTTTTTGGATCTTCCTCCAGCCACCCCGCTAAGAAATACTTGGTCAATCTAAAAATAGAAAGCTAAATAGCACCGCCAATACAAGCTTTAGAGTTTGTCACTAACTAAAACTTTAAACAATAGCGCATTTTTCCATAAATGAGAAAATGCGCTAAAAACAGTAAAACGTGGTAATGGAAACAGTGAAATAAAGCATATTGGTGACTGACCATTTTACTCGTATGTTCATTCATGTCCGAGGATTCCATCAGTTTAGGCTCAGCCAGTATTTACTTATGTACGAGTATGTTCAAAGTACACAACGGAAAGAATGGTCTTGGTCTGTAATGTATGGAAATTACAAATAATTATTAAATGAACGGATATATTACAAATGGATATTGATAAAAAAGACAGATTTTTTAAACTCTGTATTCTATAGAAGCAGAATGATGAACACCCTTGACACAAAAATGTCCTGAGACTTCACAGATGGATCTTCTATAAGAAAGCAAACCCATACTTAGAGAAATTAATTAGACTTAAATCTCTCGTCATGAGGCCTTCAAGTATGAATGAGCTAGCAATACATACTTAGAGAAAAGGTAGATTGGAAGAAAACTTACCTTCCACCAGCAGCACCGCCGCCACCACACCAGCAGCACCATGCACCTCCGTGACTCCCTAAAAATGTTGTTCAAAAGACTTCTTCATCATCGCTCTACACGTAATATCGGTATTGTGAATTATTTCGTTTCGTATAAGGCTAATTTAATTCATTTTGCTTTCTTTCACGCTGCAATGACCTGCGTGGAAATAACTGCCCTACCGGAGTTACATATGCAGCAGCCGGGTGTTAAACGGTGTATGTTTTTCATTTATTAAACTGTCATCGAAAAACGATATTAAACGGTCATCAGAAAAAATTCGATCGGAATGATCTCACTTCAACGTATGTAAGGTATCGAACTCGAGAATATTTTCGTGTCATTTCTTTCACTTTATTGCATCAACAATTTCAACATGCGATATGATTCTTTAAAACGCCGATACAATCTATTCGATTTTTTTACGAAGCTAACTTATTTTAACGTTTACCAAACTTTATTCAAACTCTTTTTCTGAAGAAATGGCTCATTTAATTATATAAAACGAAATGAAGATGCAAAATAACGTTTTGTTCGAAAACTATTTTTCGACTGCCATTTTGTCATGCAATAATAAATTCTATGATTCAATTTTGATCATTGAAACCAAAAAACGCTAAAAATTCAATCTCGATCGAAAAAGGATGAATAAAAACAGTAAAATAATTTTATTTTTTATTCGCCTCAAGTTTCTGCATTGCAACTGAAGACGGCAACAATAACAACAATTAAGAAGACAATATTCTTCCAAAGGTGCTTGAGAGGGAAGCTCTGATTGGTCGAGAGGACTGTGGTCAGCAAGGCAACGCGAGGGATTAATGTCCATAAAAAGAGACCTAAACTTGTCGATGCAGTAGTAAAATATAGATTTAGTCCCTATAGAAAAAAGATGGCGCGAGGCTGACCTCATCCAGGGTTAAATAGAACAGGAAGATAACATCTGTCTTTAGAAACAAGATGTCGCCGGTGGAAGTAGATAGGGCGCTATAGGTTGATGCATATAGTGTTGGAAGATAGGTAGCGTATAGGCCACTATAGGAACAAGGTGGTACCAGGATATAGTAAGTCACTATATAGTATAGATGAGGCTTCCAGAATGGTATCAGTCTCAATTATCTACTAACAATTCGTCTATACAATCACAAGACACGCCATGGCGACTGATGGTGTCGAAGACGCACCTTCCACGGCATCAAAATGACGTTTAATTAGATAAAATGAAGGAAAACAGCGTCATTTACGTAAAACACGATAAGGAAAATAGTATCATTTACTAAAAACACGATAAATGCGAGCACAAGGAACGAGATGACGCAGGGTGGACATTAATGAAAATTGTATTTTGAAAATAAACGTCGCTCGCTAGAAACAAGATGGCGTCGGAGCACCAGACAAGATGGCGTCGAGAGCACCAAACAAGGTGGTGGCGAATAACACTTCCCCAATCACCCCGAGTACAGGTCTTTTAGTACAAATTAGATAGATGGGAATTATACATTGTTGTAGATAGTCTTGTAATTACAAAGCTAAACAAGTAAAAAGTAGAGTAATTAGAAAGGTAAACGCTATCTAATCTAATTAGAATTTCACAATGAAGTGCTTATAACGAGAAATTGAACTTTTCCCTACGCCAATTGAATCATTGACTTCCACGCGATATTTTTGAGACGCAGATACAATATAAATGAGATTATAAAGTATTTGTTCAGTATTTGTTCGAGTATAAGTAGCGCACATACAATTATTGTTATAAGATCATAAACCATAAAGGGTCATTAAAAAGCTTAGGTTACAATGCCGTCCAGAGTCCTGTAGGTGATAATAACATGATAATATTACCTTCTTATAACTAGCACACTTATACCTACTGGTCCTATGCCGTCACAATAGTTTAGTAATGCCTTACAAATAATTAAAGAAGAAAGATCGATCTTCTGATGGAAGTCCGGGAGCTGACGACGTCACAACTTTCTACGCTTAAAATGGTGTGCGTTAGGTTGGAGTTGGAACTTATGGTGAAATGTAATAGAAGGGTGAGAGAAATTATGAAGCAAGATGATACAGGATAAATGAAGAAAATTTCAAAACAGTAACACCCCCATTGCGTTGGAAAAACGACGACAAGATGGAGGCAGCACATACAAGATGGCGGCAATACACACAAGATGGCTGCCCCGGAATTAGAGGATCATGACAAAAATCGTATAATCATTATACAAAGAATCAAACAAATCAGTTAATGCAGTACACAATTGGGTACTTTAGTTTAGATTCTGTATTTTCAGTTAAGAAACTTAAGAAGACAGTAAAAAAAGTAAATTAATTCAAACGCTAAAACTAGTGCAAAAATCTAAGCTAAAACATTTCTAAAAATTCAAGTATAGCAAGAGATTCAAAAAAGAGAAGGAGAACGAGAAGATGAAGAATTTAATTCCAATAATTAAGTAGATGAGGAGTATCTACAAGGCAAGTAAAAGCCAGTTATATAAGTGACCTATAAGGTCATATGTAAAACCTAATTCTGCAGATCATACACCTTCGCAGGAAGTGGTTTAATACAAATTAAAATCGGATTACGTACACAAAGAAGAGCGTATGTGCATCCCACATACGTACACACAAGGAAACAGACGGTCTGGGCATCTCCCAAGAAACAAATTTTAATTAACGTTGTAAATTGAACAGAAAAAGCGACTCGAAGAGGTCATAGGCGCACAAACTCAAAACAAGATGACGTCCAAGACGCTGTAAAAACAAGTTGGCACCCAAGACATGAAGAACAGAATTTTATAAAGATGTAGACACGAGGAAGGGCACGAGAGTAGCAAACTTTTAATTCGTCTATGACTAATGCAAGAATCATGTTAATTGATCAATAAATTTATAGATAAATTTATAGACACTGCTCAAGCTCACTTATCCGCGGTGGTAGCCAGAGGTCCTTCAATTATTATCCATATCAACTTTAGCTAAAATAAATCAAGTAAAACACTTTCCGTTCCTATAGTCTATTCATAATAGTTTTAATGCCAGTTTCAATGATATGGGAATACGGTAGTTCTGTGAAATTATAAGACTCAAATTTATATTATATTGTGACTATAACGTGTTAACGTAAAGGATGTACCACCCACCCATCCCTTGTACCTTATTCTGAAAACTTACTTCACCCTAGATTGGAAATATACCCCTTGGAAACATAACATGGAAAAATTATTCAGTTTTAGCGATATGTTTCTTTAAGCAAAAAAAAACACGATGAAATGAATTCACGTTGTCCTCTGAGTAACCACCAGCAGCAAAGGGGGTTTCAAGGGGAGACATTTATTTCAAAATACATTCCCTTGACTGCAGATTGTTACCTTTTTAAAGTGATCACGAAGAGGATAATCCCTCCGATCCCTTTCCCATATCGCGTAACCCTACTGCAAAGTTGGCAATCTTCATAGCCTTTGTTTCTCGCCCAATTCCTCAATGTTAACATGATATCCCCAATTATATTTCGATGTATATACCTCGTAGCACTATACAAATTGGTGTATACGTTACAATATTGATATAGCTCTCAATGCACCTACTAGTTAGTATACTAGGTTGACACAACACCAACACGTTATATCTTGGTACGTTAGGTAACATACATGCGCGATATGCCAGCATAGATATTATTCTCCATCACATAAACAACATGGCGTCCAACATAACAAAATGGTGTCCAACATAAACAAGATGGCGTCCAACATAAAAAGATGGCGTCCAACACCGAAAAGACAGATTTCAAAATAAAAATGACGTTCACACAAGAAATTTGTCACGTGCAACACAGAAAACAAAAGGGAATGATCCAAATGCCGCAGCGGACCTCCATTTTAATGAAAAAAGAAAAATGTCAGAAACTTTGGCTATTTTTCACACTAGCACTTCCTTAAGATAAATTGCGCATAATGAATTTTTTTGTGCCGTGGAGCACAATAGAGGACGACAGAAAACAAGAAAGGTGGTAGGTATTCACGCACAATCTCTAGTATGAGGTTTCCCTTATTTCTTAACAAGAAGAACTATGGGTTAAATCAAGCAACTAAACAGGATAACTTGGACCATCGCTAGGAGAAGTGGGGGGTTGAGGTAAGGGATTCATGTTTTAAGGAGGTATATATAAAAAATTGCATAACCAATGTGCGTCTACACGTTAAACTCAAGGACTCATTGGACGTCCTTGCACACGAACATCACCAGGACGCACCAGAAATTCACAACCCGCAGGACATCCCTGCACCACCCCAAAGATTTTAAGAAGAACTTGCATAAACACCGCGGCTTTACACCCTATACTTTACCATGTCGTCCCGGCACCCCACATCCCCAGGACGCCTCTAGCTGCATCCCAAACCCAAGGGTCGTCTTTGCACCCCACATTCCAACGACTCCTCTTGCATCCCACACCACCGGGATGATCTACTCAGGCACTTAACGAATGACCGCGCAACGGCAACAAGGTCTACCTTGGTCTACGTCAACTTTAAGTAGAAAGGCTAATAAAAATCTACGTATCAAGTAGATAACGAGTGGAGTCTACCTAAATTTGAAAATACTAAGCTGCTTCGTCGATCACTAGGTAGAATCTAGAAAAATCTTGAATAAATCCATCGTAGACAAGAATAATTAATCTACTCGCATTCGTAAATTACGAAAAGGGCGTGGATGACAACTCATTTATCCATAGAACCACATTCACACCTCAACCGTAAACGTTATTCACTCAATATTCACGTAGAACTGCCCTATGAGTCAGAAGCTGCAGCTCTTATTTAAAAGATATGTGTATATAATAAGTAACTTTGTCTCAAGTAATGTTTTCCTAAAAGTGAACTTGACAGATCATTCAGTAAGTACAAATGCCCTCAGCAAATGGCTAGCAGGAGGTCCTAGCCCCCTAGATAACATCACAAACTTTATACTTGCCGCTAAGTTCATCAAGCAATTTCGTAAGGGAGGAAGAGATGGGACCGAAGAGGGAAAAGGAAGGGGCTATCAAAAAACGCCTTCGAGATCAAAGCTGCACTTCTGGTCAAAAAATTCATCACAAGGTGGCAGGGAGAACCTACCAGTAAGTCTAGTGATGGTTCTTTATAGGATCAGTAATAGCCCATATGCTGTCCAAAAAAGGCCCGGCTGGTCAATAAGCTGCCCAAATAACGATAATGACGAGTAAGGGAAAACCTAAATAGGGTTCTCAAGACCACAGAAGGGCTAGACGATTCTGAAGAAGGCCCCTGTGGTGCAAAAGAAGGTGCGGCACGTGGCTCAGTTTCTGCGCGAGCGCTTGCGGTTGAGGTACGAGCTCTGGTAATGTCCTCCGATGCCCTGCGAGTGCTGCCCCACGTACCCACCTTCAGGGGAGGGTTCTGGACTTGGGAGCATCCGTCCGCCACTGCTCTTCCTCTTAAGGGGGGTGTTGTAACTTCCCCAGGTGCCGTCCACTGCAGGCGAAGCCGTGGGAATTCCTGGCGCACTAGCTGCGGCGTACGACATGAGTCCTGGCGTGCCATAACCACCTGGCGAAGCTATGGACCGTGCTGGGGTCAGTTGGTACAAAGATGGTGTCATGAACCTGTGGCTCGCTGATAGATGGTCACCAGCGGCTCCAAGTGTTCCAGCTGAAGCAAGCGCGTTAGATTGTACTAAGGAAACTGCAGAGCCAAGCCCTCCCGCTGTGGCGAAAGAGAGAACAGGTGCAAGGGAACCACCGGCGTGAGTTGAAGAAAGCTGGTGCAAGAGATACGAATGATCCATGGTCCCCTGTTGTTGCATCAGTTGGTGACCAGCAGGTGGTAATAACATTTGGTCCTGATGTTGCTTTGATGCGTTGGCAGCGTTTAGTAACATCGACATCGTAGTGGAATGTGGCGGGTACACAGCAGTTGGGGGCGGTTGCGGGGGGTACAAATGAGGAAGAAGGGGATGAGATGCCAACCCATACATGTCCATGGCTGGAGACAAGTGCGGGTGCACCAAACCTCCGAGTGGAGAATAAGCAGAAGCGCCAATCCCGTTAGGAGGGACTGAAGCTGCCGAAGTAGCAACGCCCACATACGCGCTCGATACAGGTACGGGGGTTGACCCATACCCAGCGGGAATCCCTCCCATTTGGGGGGTAAGGCCATTATGAATCCCATTTTGGGCGGGAACGCTGGGCAAGGCAGTATGGGATCCAGAAAGAGACGGAGAACCTCCAGAGGGAGCGTCAAGAACTCCCAATAATCTTTGCAAGCCCGCGGTATCGTTCAGAATGGCGTCTACTCCGCAGCTTGGGCTCTTTTCAGTAGCATGAACTCCATTGGAACTGTTACTTGTACCGCCTCCACCACTGTTGCTGACAACGCCAACAGAGTCCAAAAGGCCACTTAGAGCAGGAACAATGTTCGTCTGTTCCGTTTGAACGGCATTGCTAAGGTCACTTTCCCCCTTGCTTGCTGAATCAGGTGTGGGCAAAAGGCCGTTTCCCTGTTAGCAGGAATTTGTGAATTTTGAAGTAATTGGTTGTTGGTGACAAGATAGGATCAAGTTGACGGTTCATAAAGGACGTGTCAGGTTATATGGGCACACGAAGGCATCAGTTGACACGGGGCATCGTTGATACGGGGCACCAGTTGACAAGAGAGGTACCAGATGACACGGGCATCAAGGGCGTCAGTTGACAAGGGGGCACCAGTTGACAGTTGACAAGAAGATGACAGCGGATCAAGATGGCGACAGGTAGAGAGAAAGAAATTCGAAGTTAGCATAACATGATGGCACAAATGTCGCGACTGCAGCGTGCGCGGCAGTTATGGTTGAGATTTGTACAACAGATTTTAGAGCATCGTTAGCGTACAATTACAGCACAGTTACAGGTGATATAAACTGTCAGTTGAGAGCGAATAAAGTAACAGTTCTACTTCGCAGGTGAAGTTAGGGAGGTTATGTACATCAAATCTTGGAGGGAGAATCAGAGGGAGTGGAGAAAAGTGACAAGATATGAGAAGATGGAACGCATGAGAGATGTATAAATGAGAAGGGGGTGAAAAATAAGGTAGAAGAGAAGTAACAACAGACGCAAGAAAGAAAGGCAGGGAAGGAGGAAAAATAGAACGGACATGAAGTGAAAAAGAGATCGAAGAGGTTTGAAAGGGAAGGAAGGAACGAAAGAATGAAAAGAGAGGGCAGGAAGAGAAAGGAAAGGATGAAAAGAGAGGGCAGGAAGAGGAAGGAAATTATGGAAAGAAAGGGAAGGGGAAAATGGAAGGAAGAGGGAAGGGTTAGAATAGAAACGTCAACTGAGAATGAAAAGGGAGAGGGAGATAAAGAGAGGAAGAAATGAACATGAATTGAAGATGAAAGGGAAATAAGGACACAAAAGAGAAAAAGAAAGATAGAGCAACAGAGAAGGAGTAGTACAACTTAATTTGATGTGAAAGGGGAATAAAGAGATCCGATAATGCTGGTGAATAGACCAGAAAAAATATATATCTGAAAATCGGTGATAATATTACATAAATACTCATTTTGATCCATCAAATTTTTGATTATCAAACAAATTAATAATTGTTAGATAAATAACTGATTTTATATATATTGTTACAAATGAAAAATTTCAAGAAAAAAAGTTATTTCTCGAGTAATTTTACATCATTAAAAGAAAACAAGATTACGTTAACAAAACATTGTTTATGATATGAAAACAATGTTGATAATACATAATTATAATAATAAAATGATATTAATAAAATGATAATAATAAAATGATAATAATGTAATGATAATAATGACTGATAATATAATATTTATTGATGGGTTTTGTATGGAAATCCAAACACAGGACGAGCACATTCAACACTCATGGAAATAAGATATTATTTGTCCAAAATTTCTTAGCTAGTGTAGGTCATCCCGACACAGCTTGGCCCGGCTAAAGAGCGTATCGTTGATACGTCCGCCTAGTGCTCGTTGGTAAGAAAGTGTGTCACTATTTGATCAAAATGATACATTTATTTATTTTAGTGTATGTGTACCGAGAATTGGTCTTGCGAGCTTCAGATGAACAAAGTCATGGCGAGACCTGCATTCATAAAAATAATTGGGTCATTTTAACACGTTGACTACGATTGCTTCATCATGTACTATTATTTCATTTTTTTGTACTTTTTTTCAAGCAGGGTTGCCAGACAGTCATTTTTTCCGGACAAATTCCGTGATTTAGTTTTTCTCAATTGCGTTGGCCGGCTAAAATTTATGATAGGGGTACTTCCTAATTAAATTTTAAATACTGCAAAAAGAAAATAGATGGAATTTTTATAGCGGAACCTACAAATAAACTAGTATATATTGAGTTATCGGCCTTTTTTGGCCTTTTTTGTTCTCGGATTTGGCCGATTTTAGGCAACATGAATTATGTATCACTACGTCCTGGAGAAATACATTTCGTGGTACGCATATGTACCACTTCGGAGTCAACGTGTTAACCGACTATATAGTGAGACTTTTTGCACGTGGCAGTAATGCGCTTTTGAGTCAAACAGAGTCAGGATGACGCCCAGAAAATAGTAAAAGGTTCGTCGATATTTGAACGTTGCGTAACTAAACATTTGAACACCGCGGCAGGAGCTTTCGTTCGAACATGCCACTCTCGAATCCTCCTCATTCTTGTCTTTTTCTGAAAAATTCATAGGAATGCGCGGAAATTTGAATTTCTGGAACCACTATGAGCAAGTTGGAGAATTACCTATAACTAAATTAACCCATATAAATTTCTGCGTGATATTCGAGTAAATCGTAGATGAAAATTTCATACAGAGCGGTCACTTTGCTAAAACAAATTAAATTTTTCTTCTAACTTATCAAATCAAATTCAAAAGGAAAATTCTAGCTTCAATTCGATTTAATTTTCTCAAATTAATTTCAATTCATTCAATTGATATCGCTTCTTCCGACTTTTTAAGAAAATGCGGAAAGAGCGTCGATTTCGTTACCTGTCAAAACTTTCATTTAAATGCCCACATTTTAATTCCAGGGCACGACAGGGGATGAAGCTACGTAGGGATAGATGGGCAGAGATTTACAAGAGGCATGATAAGAGGTTTACAAGAGGCATGAGGCAGAGCCTCAAACAAAACATGAGCCGCCCTAACAAAATTCGGGGTATGCTTCAGCCTGAGCCCCAGAGTTGCTATGTTCGCGTTAGAGTTATTCTGGGTAAGTTGGCCGCCTGATCGCAATCAGCGACTAGTCAGAACCTCCTGGCCGACTTTATGGTCTCCTGAGAGTAGGGCAAGAGTTGGCAGAATAAGGACCAGGCGCTTGTAGCTGTCTGATTCGTTGGCCGGAATGTAGACCAATAAACGGACATAGAGAAGCTGATTTACGTTCGGTCCGAGTCCTAGGCGCTTCCTAATTCAAGGTCGCCACCAACTCAAAATTTTGATAGGGCGTGGCGGGTCTTTTTGAAAAAAAATTCTAAGTTCAACTTCTGGTAGTTCGAATTTCAGGAATCTATTATCAGCTCGTGCTGCGGGTAAGAAAGCACGTCACTATCTGGACAAAATGACCCATCCATTTCTGAGCGTGCTGATGCACCACCCCCAACAGAGTCTCTTTCATTTCCATGAGTGTAGACGCACTTTTCTCCGTGTTAGACTCACGGAGCATAAGTGACACTATGAATAATTAGGGGCAATATGGTGGAAGAAACTTTCACGGAAATAAATAATTATGGATGATGGGAAAACAAAATTTGGATGAAGAGTCACAAGAAATAGTAAAATGAAAAATGGCAATGAAAACACAACGAAGAAAATAGAAATCGGAATAAGGAAAGACAAGTAACATGTAAAAGAAATTAATGAAGTTGGAGAAAGACCTTACCTTCGCGGTGCCATTGCTGTTCTTATCTTCATTGTTGCTGTTGTTGTTGCTGCCGTTGATGATGTTGGTTATAGAGGTGACGAGCTGGGGGTCATTGAGTACGCTGCTCACGGAGGGGTCATTGGGTCCCCCGCGGGGACGCGTGAAGGCGGCCATGAGAACCGCAAGGAGGGTACGTACATTATCCTAACTTACGATCTCTTAACTTTTTTTGAAAGTATGGGCCACGGCCCCCAACCCTCCCCAGCACCCAAAGATCCCCCATCACCCACAGGCGGGGTTGCTCTTGGTCAGGTTGTGCAGCTGGGAGAACACCTTGTTGACGGGAGGCTCTGGCAACAGCGCCGCCGTGGGGGCGGAGCCAGTCACCCGCTGCCCAAAATAGTTATAATTATTTAATAGAAGTTATTAATAATAGTATTGTATAATATGTTAGTATAAGTAGTAATTATATGTTTAAAAAGTTTATAAGTTACCCTCAAATCATAGTTCCTTATACCCAGTTAAAATTTACAGACGCGGCAGCTTCTGATTTGGATTACCAGAAGCTGGGGCGACTCTAAATTTTGTTAGGGTGATTAGTTAAAGAAAGTTAGCAATAATAGTTTTGTATAATATCTTAATATAAGTAGCAATTAAATGTCGTAATAAGTTATAAGTTACCCGGCAAGGAGGCCAGTCGGTTAAGCAAAGCAAAAATTGAAGCAGTGAGTTGCGAAGTTCGAGACCGCAACAAGCTGTGAATGTTCTGCGATGTTAAGAATCGGTGACAGGCCTACGGCCTAATAAACAATGAAGCCGCTATTATTATTATTATTATTAGCAGTATTATTATTATTATTATTATTATAGCCCCTTCACTCACGCGGTATTATATGTTACAATACCGTCGCCCCACTGAACTAAAACTTGACAGAAATTTCAACGCAAGTTTTCCTAGTAGCAGAAATAATGCAGGACTCCCTCTGGTTTAGTGTGCGGGAGGGAGAGGGTGTTAACATTTTTTATATCTTAATATAAGTAGTAATTATGTTTTGTAATAAGTTATAAGTTACAATAGCCCCTTAACTCACGCGATCATTAAGCAGTTTGCTGTAGAGGTTGATGGCGCGCTTGCCAGGCGCGGCGTAGCGCAGGCGCGCGGGGCGGCCGTGGATGAGGCGCCCCTGCAGCGCCTCTACCGTGGCCTCGGCCTCCTCCCACCGCCCCCACTCTATCAGCCCCCACTGCTGACTTCCCCCGGCCGTCAGGGCAAGCTGGGGGACATGGGGGATTAGGGGGAATGTAAGTGAGGGGGTAAATCCCTGAGGTTAGAACAACCTGTGGGACATGGGGGATTAGAACGGAAGTTGTAAAAAATATAACTCAGTACTCACTGCAGTGAGTGACAGAGAGCGCATTTTCTCGACGACGAAAACTTGAGGTCACGGACAGACAGACGGTCAGACAGACAAACGGACGGACAGACGGACCACAATAGGACATTTTTTCCATAAATGAGAAAATGCGCTAAAAAGGGGGGAACTACCCTGAATTCAGGGCCAGCTGGGGGATACGAGGGTTTCACAGGAGGTTTTGAAAGAGGGGATCATGAGGAAAAGGGTTTAGGGTGGGGGTTGTAAAGAAAAGTTGGGGGAGAAAGGATTTCGATGGAGGATTGTGAGGGGGAGGGGGGTTGAGAAGGAATGCTAGAGAGGGGGGGGTGTGGGGTGTAAAGGATGGAGGGGAGCGTAGAGAAGCAGGGTTAGAATAAATTTTAGGGAAAGTAGAGTTAAAGAGAGGAGTGTCCTGATATTTTATGTGATCTTATCCACGTTTGAAAAATTAAACATTATAGGTACTCTTTTCTAGAAGACATGAAAATATCACAGTGCGTATTTCATTACTTGGTTAATAATTGCCAGACTACTAGCTGTTACCAGCTGAACTAGTATCAGTAAATAAACTGACACTATTTTATCTGAAAATTTGTGTTCCACACTAACTAACCTAACAAAATTTAGATGCAGGCTCAACTCCGCAACAGGGGCTGCCTATCACTCAGGTGCTGCCGCACAAATCAGCCTCTCTGCCCTAACAAAATTCGGGAAGCGCCTGGGCTTCGTCTCAGAAGTCGCTAGACTCGGCCTAAAGTTTTCCCGGGTCTGTTTTATAACTCGATCGATCGAAAACAGCTTCTGGTCAGAATCTCCTTGCCAACTTTATAGTCGCCTGAGAGTATGACAAGGGTTGGCCGAGCCGAGTCACACAGAGCTTGCAAGCTGTCCAGAGGCTGCCCTTTCGGACCCTGAGCCGTAGAAGACAATGAGCGGCTGATTTACGCGCTCCCCGAGTCCTAGGCGGCACCTGTTACAGAGTGGGGCCCACCTCTAAATTTTGTTAGGGCATGTTCGCTTCGGCTCAAGAGCAGCCTCTGGGCAGTTTGCAGTTGCTCGGTCAACTCATTTCTCACTCTCAGGCGACCATAATGTCAGAAAGGGGATTCCGACATGACGATGATTTCGATCGGGTGGCCAATTAGGCAGACCCAGAATAACATCTAGCAGAGTGAAACAATTCTAGGGCAGAAGCGCTACCCGAATTTTGTTAGGACAGAACATTTTTTTTACATTGTTTTAGACTCATCAAATGCAGTAATCTGGACCAAAAACCTCATCATTATTTGGAAATTATGACAGAAAACTGTGGAGAGAACTATCAATAAGGTATAAATTATTTTATTCTTCATTACACAGCAAAATTTATCGGCGCTTACATCTCATCAAAATAAATTAGCGTTTGAAGCAGTTAGCCCAATCAACACACTCAGAGAAATGTACGAGACATTGTCCAAATAGCGATGCACTTTTTGTATTTTTGTGAGTCATCCTGACCCACTTTGGCCCGGGAAACGGGCGTATCAGTGCCACGCCAGCTCCCCTAACAAAATTTAGAGTCGCCCCAGCTTCTGGTAGTAATCCAAATCAGAAGCTGACACGCCTGTCAATTTTTACTGGGAATTTCAGCTCGTGCTGCGGGTAAGAAAGTACGTCACTATTTGTACAACATAACACATCCATTTCTGAGCGTGCTGATGCACCACCCCCAACAAAATTTAGAGTCGTCCCAGCTTCTGGTATAGTGATCCAAATCAGAAGCTGCCGCGACTCTAAATTTTCACTGGGACCTACCTGGCAGTATGGCGGGTTGGCGACTCTGCTGAAGATCTTCCTAAACTCGCCAAGCTCCCTATAGTCCTTGGGCAAATTGTCGACGACGACGCAACAGGAATGGAGGGATGAAAACGTCACGATGTTGGGCTCCAGCCAATCACAGCTCAGCACACAACCGCCGTAGCTGCGACCGTCCAATAGCGAGCGAGCTTGTAGCGCCGCGTCCCGTGATTGGTAGAGCACTAGTCCGTACCCCTTACTAGCCCCTGCGTGGGGGGGAGGGAGGGGTTAACTAGCCCCTGCGTGGGGGAGGGGGTGAGAGTAGAGCACTAGTCCGTACCCCTTACTAGCCCCTGCGGGGGGGAGGGAGGGGTTAACTAGCCCCTGCGTGGGGGGAGGGGGTGAGGGTAGAGCACTAGTCCGTACCTCTTACTAGCCCCAGCAGGGGGAGAGGGAGGGGGGTTAAAGTAGAGCACTAGTCCGTACCCCTTACTAGCCCCTGCGGGGGGGGAGGGGGATTAGGGTAGAGCACTAGTCCGTACCCCTTACTAGCCCCTGCGGGGGGGGAGGGGGATTAGGGTAGAGCACTAGTCCGTACCCCTTACTAGCCCCTGCGTGTCTCTTATACACATCTAGATGTGTATAAGAGACAGCTATAGTTCCCCCGTCACTAGTCACCCACCAGTTGTAACTATAGTTCCCCCGTCACTAGTCACCCACCAGTGGTAACTAGTTCCCCCGTCACTAGTCACCCACCAGTGGTCTCGGAGCGCATGAGGAAGGCGTAGGTGAGAGGCCCGGCGACACTAGTAACTAGTTGGTTGAACTGCTCGTCACTAGTGTCTAGTGGCAGGCTAGTGACGCACAGCAGGTTGTCGGTGCTGGAGGGAGTGACGCTCATCTGGTGCCCCCGTAGGGTGAGGGTGTGGGGGATACGCGGGGGACCTGGGGGGAGGAAATGTGCTTACACTGAGAGAAAAATGCCCCCTGCTTTGAAACACTTGGGTGTTTGAAACACTTGAAACACTTGGGTGTTTCAAAGAGGACAGTATAAGCGGCCAGTAATATTCGATTATTCGCTTCGAATATCGGGTTAGGATCAGCTGATTTTTTAGTCATTGTTTTTGATGAGTTTGATAAAATTGATAAGTACAAATGAAGATTTTGATACAATTTATAATTAGAGATGAAGATTTTGATAAAATTTATAATTAAAAATTAAATTTGAGTATTTTTATTCTAATTTTAGCCCGATATTTGAAGTGGGAAGTACTAGCCGCTAATACTATCGGCTAATACTGCCTTCTGTCGTCCGCAAAAGTTGCCAGTTTGGCATTTTTCCGGCAAAATTTAATAATGTGGGTCTCTTTACAATAGCATTGGTCGACAAAAAATCTATGTTGGCTTTAAATTTATTGTAACTTTCAATGAATAAAAACCTCAAAATTAAATTATTGCACTTGAAATTGCCAATTTACTAATAAATAATAAGTGCTGCATTTTGCCAGTTTTGGCCTTTTTGTGAAGATTTGGTAGTTGGCAACCCTACAAAGTAAATCATCCGCACCTGCTAGTGCGTGGCTAGCAGCCTTCGAGTGAGGTGTGTGCACGGTGAAAGAATATGCATCGATATAATAAGTAAAATAGTGAGTTTTAGAGGCTTTTGATGATGCAGTTGGTGAAATTGTTATAATTATGGCTGAAGAAGTCGAAAACTTTTTCAATTAACATAGAATGAGGGTAAAAAAACTGGGTAGGATGACTTTATTTCGTAAGGAGAGGAGCAGCACACACCCACAACCCACGGCTGCTACAGCCCTACTAGCCGCTGGTCGCCGCGCAAACTAAAATTATTTCGATTGCGAACATCCGCCCCTCGCTACTTTCCTTTGAATGAGAAAATCAACCGGAAAATTACTATCAAGTAATATTAGCTGGTATTACTATCGGCTAAAATTTTTAGCCGATACTAGTTCGTTTTTTAACTAGTTTCTTCCAAAACATGCTGCAAGCACCACCCTCAACGACCACCAAGCTCCGCCCACCAGCAACACCGGGAAATGAACTGTGCTTCCCGAGGTGGTTTACTGCGTAACAGGTGGTGCTTGGTTTTCATTGAGGAGACAACGCCCATGGCCACGATGTTATCCCAAACGTTCCTGCTGTTCTCCATCACCCCGACAGCAGGCAACCCTCACACCCAGAGCAGTCATCCCTCACACCCACTTACCCCGGACGTTGCTGCAGTTCTCCCTCACCCCCAAAGCAGGCACTCCTCACCCCACTCACTCCGGCCGCTGTTGCTGTTCTTCCTAACCCCGACAGCAGTTAACCCTCACCCCTGCTCACCCTAAACGTTGCTGTCCTCCCTCACTCCCAGTATCCCACAGCAGGCAGCCCTCACCCCACTCACTCCGGACGTTGAAGCTGTTCTCCCTAACCCCACAGCAGTCAACCCTCACACCCCCACTCACCCCGGACGTTGCTGCTGTTCTTGCCCGTCCAGTTCTCGATGACGTCAGGCTCGGCGAGGAGAACGTGGGCGGTGAGGGAGGAGGGGGGCGCGGGGGCGGGGCTTAGCTGCACTGAATGCACGAGTATCCCCGGCAGCAGCGCGCGCACCGTCTGTAGAAAACGAACATTTTCTTTGGTTATTGAAATATTACGTAGAAAACGTGAAGAGCGTCTACGGTAACTCACATATTACGTAGAAAACGTGAAGAGCGTCCACGGTAACTCATATATTACGTAGAAAACGTGGAAAGTGTTTACGGTAACTCATATATTATGTAGAAAACGTGGAAAGTGTTTACGGTAACTCATATATTATGTAGAAAACGGGGAAAGTGTTTACGGTAACTCATATATTATGTAGAAAACGGGGGAAATTTTCTCCGCTTACTGATATATCTTATAGAAAACGAGAAACGCCCTTCCGGTAACTGATATAATTCTGAAGAAAACGGGAAAGTTTACTAGTTATAGACACAGCAGCTATCCTTCAATCGAACACATTTTTTTTCAAAACATCAAGTCGAGGAATTGTGGATTGTTTTTGATGTAAAGTTGAGTTAATGTTAATTTCACTAGTATAAATAAACACATATATAATTTACCTCTATTACGAAAACATTTTAAAACAATTTTCATAGCGAACTACGACGGGACTCAAACTTTTTTTATGAAAATAATTATGGCTTCAGCAAAAATAAAATGATTTTCAGTGATAACAAATATAGAAACAGTGGCACAAACAAGCAAAGGATGGTAGCATCTAACGCCCCTGAAAAAGTTTCAGGTTAGGTATATAAAAATATATAATAATATATATTCTATATATTATATAATTATATATTATATTATATTATATATATATATTATATATACGCCCCCAGGCTCGTTCATCATATAATGGATTTAGAAATAAATGACAACAATACCCTCAACAGGAGAATAAATTTATCCGGAATAATTAAGAAAATCTTAAATGATTAAATCTTAGAATCTCATTAGAACAAGACAGGGTTCGCAACATATGACAGTCCCCGTCCCGTCCAATATTGCTTCTAGTGCAACGCATTAGAGAATATTGGGTGAACCCGGCCGTAGAATCCCGTTATCCAAAATACCGTTACATAAAATCCCGTTATCCTGAATCCCGTTACATCAAATCCCGTTATACGGAATCCCGTTACATCAAATCCCGTTATACTGAATCCCGTTACATAAAATGCCGTTATTGTGAATCCCGTTACATCAAATCCCGTTATCTTGTATCCCGTTACTAATCAAGCAGTATTAATGTGTCAACAGAAAGATATGTTCAGTTGAATATGTATGAAATAAATAAAGGATAACTTTTAAATTTTGAACGAATTTTATTTGAATTCTTCACTTTTTCAGACCATATTAACTATGCAAAGTGAGAGCATGAAATAAAAGTAAAATTTTCACACATATTTTATTTAATATATTCATTTTTCATGTATATCATAGAGCAGCTCGTGAGCAAACTAAAGTTGTTTTTAATTTTTTAATAGTTTAGGCGCCATTTTGTTCTTAATTCGCATAATTAAATTAGATTTTCAGCTTAAATTCGTTTTCTTACATCGCAGCGTTACGGCCGCCGTAACGGCCGCTTACGACACNCCATCCCTGAGGTGGGTCAAGGGTCCATCCCTGAGGTGGGTCAAGGGTCCATCCCTGAGGTGGGTCAAGGGTCCATCCCTGAGGTGGGTCAAGGGTCCATCCCTGAGGTGGGTCAAGGGTCCATCCCTGAGGTGGGTCAAGGGTCCATCCCTGAGGTGGGTCAAGGGTCCATCCCTGAGGTGGGTCAAGGGTCCATCCCTGAGGTGGGTCAAGGGTCCATCCCTGAGGTGGGTCAAGGGTCCATCCCTGAGGTGGGTCAAGGGTCCATCCCTGAGGTGGGTCAAGGGTCCATCCCTGAGGTGGGTCAAGGGTCCATCCCTGAGGTGGGTCAAGGGTCCATCCCTGAGGTGGGTCAAGGGTCCATCCCTGAGGTGGGTCAAGGGTCCATCCCTGAGGTGGGTCAAGGGTCCATCCCTGAGGTGGGTCAAGGGTCCATCCCTGAGGTGGGTCAAGGGTCCATCCCTGAGGTGGGTCAAGGGTCCATCCCTGAGGTGGGTCAAGGGTCCATCCCTGAGGTGGGTCAAGGGTCCATCCCTGAGGTGGGTCAAGGGTCCATCCCTGAGGTGGGTCAAGGGTCCAACCCTGAGGTGTAAGATTGTATCCCCGTGGGGATGAAATGAGAAACCTTCCCCGTGGGGCCCCACGGCCCCTCGTTTTGCCGCCTCACCCGTGATAATTTCCCACGGGACGTCAGCAGGAACTTCCCGTGACGCGGGGGCCATGTTGAAAATTTTTATGGCTACATTAGGGTTCACGGGGGTTCATAACCTCTAAAGGGGTTCACTTGGGTTCAAATCATTCAAGGGGTTTATAAGTAAAACTGGAAGGGGTACACGCAGGGGTTCATAAGTAATAAAATGTGGGGGTTCATAAGTAATATAAGGCAGGGGTTCACGGGGGTTCATAAGTAATAAAATGTGGGGGTTCATAAGTAATATAAGGCAGGGGTTCACGGGGGTTCATAAGTAATAAAATGTGGGGGTTTATAAGCCACAAATGCAATCATCCCCCATACTGTTCTGCCCAAGCCCCCCCACTCCCCCCACAGAGGGGAAGGCGTTAAATTATGTGTCAGAAATTCCATACGAGATGAGGAAGGGGGTGGGGATTACGGTGGGGAATGGGGTGGGGAAGAGGGCTGGGTATACCTCATATTACGGTGTGTGAGGTATATTACGGTATAGTATGAGGTATATTACGGTATACGAGGCATATTACGGTGTATCAGGCATATTACGGTATATTACGGTTTATAGTGGTATATTACGCGCTATTACGGTACTATATTACGGTATATTGCGGGATCATCAAGGTATACTACAGTATATTACGGGATCGTCAGAAATATTGGCGACATAAAATACTTTTTTTGGACGGTCGCGGAGAGATGGGGAGGTATGGAAAGGGGATGAGGTTGCAGCTGTATACCCAACGCGTTGCATGCATTTTAACCCCTAACCCCTTTAATTCCAATAAACCTAAGCCGTCAAGTGTATACTGAACCCCAAACCCCCCGGGAACGTAACCCCCCCCAGGGGTTCAATAACTCATACGCGCGTCGAGGCCGCGTCTGCGTAAATCAGGGGGACCAATCCCCACGCGGGGGGAGTGATGGGGACAACAGCGTGGGGACACG